GATGCAGGAAAAAAAAAAAATTTTTTTTAGTTAAATAAAATGTTTTGATCGATAGCATATATTAAAATACTAATTTGTAGTTATTATGAGTAATCGTGAGAAAAATAATGGCTTTAAATATTTGATTGTTAAATTTCCAAGTTTATGATTTCGAAAGGGGAAAGCTGTGGGTCACAAATATTTGCAGATATTCTTTCTCTTCTGTGGGGTAAATAAATTCAACAAATGAAATACTTATTACAACGAGATAATTTTTGACAACTATCTGTAATGGAAAACAAAAAAAAATATTTGCATGATAAATACCACCAAACAAAAAGAAAAACTTCTAAATGTTACATTATTGACATTTTATCTTTTGCAGTTTCTAATGTGGGGCGGGAATTTATGCAAACAATACAATCACCATTCAAATATAGACATCTCTTTTTTTGATAGACCCGAGAAAAAATGTGGGGGCGTGGGGTAAATAATGAGTTATTTAGTAAACAAGTTTTTTTTTTCTTTCATTTCTTTCTAAATATATAATTAGTATTTTTTAATTTAAACAAATTGATGCTTTATTACTATCACTATATTTATTGAACTTTATAAGTCAGAATAGAGACATGAGGGATTGTTCATATAATCCGTCTATGCAAAGCCATTTACAAAATTACGCCGCAGATTTTTAAAGTTTCTAGTAATCATAAATAATGACTTGAACTGGAATTTGGAGGGTGAGACAAATAAAATTGGGTTGTGTAACACTCAACAGGAACAATGTATATTGTTCGATGTGTAACCACGAATAAAACGTTGGTAGTCTTTGATTGTTCTTCATCGAGTGGGTATGTCTCTTTTCGATTCGCTCATTGAAACGATTTGAGAACTGAAACAAAAATGTTGTGATGATATTTATTGTTTGTAGTAGGTGAAAATGTTTGTTTATAATTTTGCTGTAACGTCCGAGTGCTGTCAATCTTGAACCTTTTTTACTTTGTAAACGAAGTGCCGCCCTAACCTTGAATTATCATGTCAATGAGAATTTTTAAGGTTTCAAGCCAGATTTCAACATAATACGAAAAATAATTTGTCTTTGTTTCCTTTAATCTTACAGCTTCGATAAACCCAAAACAAGGTTGCAGATAACTTTTCCAAATATTTTCCAAAAGGAAAGATGAAAACCAACCACTCATAACGTAATGACGCGCATTCAATAAACATCGTTATCTTTTTTTTTTTTTTGTTTTGACAAATCTGGAAAATGTTGTTTTTTTAAGGTTTCAGGTTTTTTTTTTGAATATTTATGGTAAATTCGGTCATCACAATCAATGTATGTGATGTGATTTCTGTGATTTCGCGATTACATATACATAGTATACATATATATATAATGAAAAAATTAAAAAATCACAATTTGTGATGTCGCGAATTTTTTTTTTAAGAGACGCGTCAAAAAAAAATTTTTTTTTTCACTTTCGAAATGTCCTTTATCGAGTAAACTTATTATTTTTTTTTTAATAAAAAAAAAAAAAAAGAAAAAAAAAAAACGAAATACAATGAGTATATGATATTTATTAAAGATGTGCAAAAACATACAATGAATGATGTTAACAATGAATGCATCGAAAGAAAAAAAAAAAATTTCCCCAAAACAAAGGGATAGTAAAATCCATTCCATCTTTTTTTTTTTATACAAATGATGCGAATTGCCCGAAAGATACCCATCCATTCGCATATCAAACGATTTTCAAGAACAATAGGTGGAGATTATTGTTCGTTATAACCAAATTATGATTAATTTGTATTAATGTTTTTTTTTTTTTTCCTCCCTTTGATAAGGCAATTATAAGTATTTACTTTAGAAACTTGATCTTGATTATTATCAAACAATGCAAAGCCGGATTCCATCGAAAAATGACACTTATTTTGTTATTATCATCGCTCCCGTTTTGAATTCATTACAAAAAAAAAGAGTTCATAACCTTCAACTGATCAAAGAATTCCTTTGATACACAAGAATGTCATATAATCGATATGAATAATCTGTGTAAAGGACGTGAAAATAAAAACAGGTTGAACTACAAAAATAAATCCATCTCTTCAAAACAAAAAAAAAAATCATGGGAACTTTCTCATTTTCATGATCACAACATAAAATTATAAGGTAATAAGGCGATTTTACTTTATTTATTTATTTACTTTTTTTTTTTCCTCGATTTATTTCTTTGATAAATTAAATGTTTAACGTTAACCAAATTCAAATAATATAATCCATTGTTCTTGATCCCGTAACGATCATCTGATTCCACATGTAAATTATTACTTTATATCAAACGATCCGCTAAAAAAAAAATAGAACCTGTTATTCAATTGTTGATTATATTCTCTTTTTTTTTTTTTTTTTTTTCTAAATTGAAAACAACGAAAAGGAAAATGAAAAAAAAACAGTAAAATTTATTTCTTTGTGTAATCGTAAGAAAGAGTTGCCACGCATGATGATCATTATGCAAGCTCAGAGATTCATTCATGGTTTCTAAATTACGATTGCTTGATTAGAAATTATTACCTTTTTTTATTAAACCAAAATAAAAAAAATGATTGCATAATGTCCACACGAAAACTTGCTACATACAGGAAAATGCATAATAGTCACGTGTAATCAATCTAAAATTAGAAAATTCGACCAGCATTAATTAACTTTAGATTAGTTCATGACTGGATTTTTTTTGTCATTGTTAAAAATTCCAAATATTCCTGTAATTATCTAGTTTTTTTTTTATTCCTGCCCAACGGGAGAAAAAAAATTATATGAAACAATCGAAAAACAAATTCGAAACAATGGGCAAAAAAAAAAAAAACTTATTTAGCATCCATTCAATAAAAAAAATATATTTTTTTTTTGTTTTAAGGAGTGCCATTATATCAAACTCGAGAGTTAAACACCACATTTTTTTATTTGTTAAAAAAAATATTATTTTGGATGCCTCACATAATCCGTTTCGTAAAAAATGGTTCCATTGTTTGTTTTTAACGGAAGTCGCGCGTGAAAATCAAAAAAAAAAAAAAGATTAGGAAAAGATTTGATTTCTGTTTGATAAAGGAAAAAAAAAGGGAGAATATGAAAAAAAATGGATAAAAATTTTTTTAGGTTACGCCGATTAGCAATAGAGTAATTCGGCGTAAAAAAAAAAGTTTATAACCATCATTTAAAAATTGGGTTTAATCATCATTGACGAAATTGTTTCATTGTTAAAAAAATAATAATTGGTTATTCTAAACCTAAATTAATTAATTCTTGTGCAGATTTTTTTATTTATGAAACCTAAAAAAAAAAGAATAAAAAAGAAAAAGATTGACTTGAATCGTGTAACAAGAATTCGCTTCAACTTTAGGTGATTTTGAGAGATGAGGGCGATTAAGCCATACATTTTCGCACACGTCTTAAGAAAAATTAGCCTGCTACATTCTACCTGGATTGTCTTACACATTGTTCTCAAATTTAGTCATCTGAACTGCCAAAACATTCAAAAAATAAGTTACCCAGATCTGATTAATAAAATCCATGGGTAACATGGGTAACCCTCTATCTATTTGAATGTAAGCATGTGCTGAATATTGTTCTTTTCTTATTAATGAAAAAGATTAGTTCATCATAATGTAAACAATGTCAAATTTCAACAATTATGAAATAAAGAAACAAATTCTTTAAGGAAATAAATTTGTCTATAATAAAAAACTCCCGAATTTACTTTTTTTTTTTTTCATATAGGGAACAAAAAAAAAATTAAACCATTTTGAGGATAAATGTTCTTTTACAATTACAATATAATTACCCAAAAAGTTTACCAAAGACAAATGAAAGAAGGATGATGATATAATCCAATACAGGTTAAATTGAACATGTAACCTTACAAGTTTTATTATTCGTAAGCAAAATACTTTTGTCGCCGAATATTTTGTTCTTACTACTACTACTAACGCAATTACACGCGAATGGTGATATTCGCCGATGAGAGATTATATAATAATCATATTTTTTTTTTTTTATGTTATATATATAATAAATAATAAGCAACATGGGAAAATATTTTTCGGAGCATCCCGCAAATCTGATGACATTTAATTAAAAAGTTGACAAAAAAAAGATCGAGACAATTAATTATATATTATTATTAAATTTTTTTTAAATATATATTTTTTATTTTTTATTTCTCAAGAATAAATACACTGATTATTAAAATAAGAAAGAAAAAGAAACTTTTTTTGACGAAAAAAAAAATGGATACCAATAGAATGAAAAAAAAAGACCCATAATTTTTATTTAAGCTTGCCCATATGTGTGTGTTATATGTATATATGTATAATAAAGATTATGAAAGAGAAAAGAAAAAATGATGATGCACAATTTAAAAAAAAAAAAAATTGAAGGAAATATAGTATAACTACTTACAATCTGTACAAGAAAGAATAAAGAATAAAAAATTTCGCAAATATATAAATAAATTTAATTCGGGGAAAGCTTAAATTTTCATGTTTTTTTTTTGATTTGAACATAATATTATACGTTAAATTCAATTTTTATAATTTGCATGTTAAAATCATTATAAATAAATTTTTCTGGGGTGTTAGCCTACTACTACGTTTTAAGACTTCGTCGCAAAAGTAAAGGGTAAAAAAGGGGGTGTAAAACGTTATGTCGAAGAAAGGGCAAATGTAAAAAAAAAATAATAAAAAAAATTTACAAAAGAAAATGTGTTTTAAAAATTTCTCTTTACGTTGATGAAATATTTTGTGGTTACAGGAAAGGAAGACAAATAAAATACTAGTGCCAAAATTAATTAGTATTATTATTTATTGTTTCACTCAATGTAATAACGATGACTGACAGTTCCATGTAATCACAAAGGAAAACGTCAAGAAATTAAGATAGGAGGAAGGAATAAAAAAAAATAAAGAAATAAAAATTGTTCGCAAATTAATCAAATCCTCTTTACAACGGGAAATCGAAGAAAGGATCACACTTGCGTGTATGGATGAGTGTACGGACGAAACGTGTTGCTTTCGTCGTTCAATAAAAAGTTGAGTGACATTTTTTCTGAAGAACCTTCAGAGGTTGATTTCTTCCTCTGCTTGCTTCTCGATGGTCTCCTTGGACAATAAACGTAATTTGGGTATAACTTCATGTGTCGTTCCTTTTCCACTCGGGCCTTTTCAGCGTATTTTTGTTTTATGTGCTGAGGTTCTTGAGCCCATTCATCCGCGGCAGATTTTGAAATGCGAGAAAGCTCAGAGAGGAGAATATTCGGGTGCTGCTCCTTGATCTTTTTCTGGTATTCTCGTCGATATATCATGAAGGAATTTAAAGGTCTCGGGGGAGTATCCCTATTTCTTCGACGTTTTGTTACACGTTGAGAAAGTGGCTGTTGTTGGCTCATGTTATTATTAGTATTGATATATTGATCGTCAATGTTATTCGTGAAAAGTTGTTCGTTGATCGTTGTTGTGTGTTTGCCGAGAATTGATACGCGAGGTGTCATTAAGAGAGGAAAAACGAAATATTACGAACAGGAAAAAAAAAGAAAAAAAAGGGAAAGGAAGAAATCGATTAGAGGTTACTTTTTGGGGGGAAACAAGTCTTTTTAAATAGAATTTGTTGTGAGACAAAAATTTAAAACAAACTAAAAAACGATTGTTATTATAATAAAACGTCACTTTATTTGTGATGGAAAGTAATGTTCCGAAGATCAATAAAGATTCAAAGAGGGATATAATAGAAAGAAATAAAAAAAAAAGTTAAGGGGGTGTATGTATATTTAATAAAATGGGTTCTTTTGTAATTTTTTTTTCGTTCCGTATGGTAAAAAATTCCTTTTACTACTTTAGCGACAATTGAAATTTTATTTATGTGGATCAGAGAATTTTAGCAAGTCTTGTTTTGATATTAGAGCTTTTGAAAAATATATTTTTTTTTACTTTGTGGAAACTTTCTTTTTTGCCGTGCTATTTATATTAAATCAGTTTAATAAATAATATGTAATAAAGATTATTGAAATTATTGAAGATCTTCTTCAATCATCACATATATAATATAAATAAATTGTATTTATACAGTAAGTACATAAATTATACAATAATGTATTGACAATAGTACTGTATTTTTTTTATTGTATGTGGCTGATTAAGGCGTACTCCGTTTTTGACGACGACGAAGAATGAAGGGAATTTTAAAATTATTTCTTGCACGAAACCTTTTGTCACATCTCAACATTGTTGATATGTAGTTGAATGATAATGTTGAGGGTTTGATATTTTTGAACTTTGGAGTAAAAAAATCCGTAAATAAATATATAATATTATAATAAATATATTTATTTACATTGTTGTAAAAAAAAAGCACAATGATAAGATATTTTCGAGTGAGTTGCCGAGTTCTCTTCTGTGTTACAAAACTTTATATTATTGTCATAACCATCATAATCATACTTGACTATTTTAAATTATCAACTAATATTATACTTTTTAAAAAAAAAATAACAATAATTTCCAAAAAAAAAAAAAAAAATATTGATACTCTGAGTGAAAAAAAAAACTTATGTGGGAAAACAAGAAAGTTGTCCTATTTTTTTTTCCTTATAATTGTGAGTGATTGCTTCTTTTGTAAATCGGGGGGACTAAACACATTGTCATTTTAACATTTATGCAAGAATTTCCATTTTAATTCCACTAAAAGAAACAACACACAATGAAATAATGATTCAACAAGTAATTCGTCTTTTATTGGTTCTTAAGAAATTAAATTGTAATTTTTTTTTAAAAAAAAATATATTATTTATTTTAATATAATAAATATATCATTAATAATGTAATAATGTTTATTTAATCTCTAAACCTTTCATTGATAAATAGAAAGAAATATACCAATTTGATTGAAATCAGTCAACTTTAGAACGAGTGAATGAAAGCTTTTAGGGTGACAATGTCAAGAGACTAAATAGATAAATGGATACTTTGAGTTTCCTAAATTAGAAATCAATCATACGAGATTCCAATTATGTTTTTTCATTTACATAAAAAGTCGTCCCATTCAAAGTGTGAAATTTGGTCAAAGGTCTCATGACGGATCCTTAAAACATACTGTTCCCTAATTCTCTTAAAATGTGATTAGATTGATTGTGTTAGCAGAGCTAAAAAAAGGTTGTAATGAGACCTTAGATTGAATGACGGAAAAATTTTATTTTTGTTTGTCAATAACAATTAAACGATTATATGATGTATGAATTATTCGATATGGAAAAGTCCGAAGTGCAGAATTATGTCAAAAAGATAATGTGTGGATCATCATCAAACCATGGTTTCACGAATGTATGATGACGAAGCGGTGATAGATGTTTTTTGAATAACATTGGTTTTTTTTTTCTTTACTTCTCTTCTTTTACATTTCATAACCTGCATTTATCAAATAAAAGAGATATCTCGTGACATTCAAAATCTTTTGTTTTCGGTGTGACCGTTTTCTTTTCTTAATCTCTTTCAACATTACATAGCGTGCAGGTCAAGAGTTTTATTGAAACAATGTGAAGTTCTATTTTGAGCACCTTTTTCTTTCTTTCTTTCTCTTTTTTTTTTTGGTCATTATTTGGTAATTGATTGCTTTTGTAAATTCAATGGTCTGCACAAATTAAAAATTCTATGACATTATTCTCTTGTAAAGTAACAAAAAAAAAATAATAAAACAAAAACAAAAATAAATTAATAACGGATACAAGAAGGACTCATAATTATCTGATTTATCCTATTTGCATTATTGATAATGCATGTGTTTATTGTTCCCATGACGACATTGAGAAACCAACATGGTCGAGATATATATTGTGCGCAACTTGTATAGGTGCATGAGATAAATGGTCTCACCATTATCATTAACCGTTTTTTTATTTTTATTATTTTTTTGGCTTGATCCATCCCATTATATAAAACGATACTGTTTTGAATTTTTAATTGTCTCTCCAAAAAGGAATTCCATTCCTAATATTCGGGAATGAGTTTTTTTTTTTTTGTTTACTTTGAAATTTGATTTGTAACACCTTGAAAATCCGTTCTCTCGTGTCCAATAGTTTAAATTAAACTTCGCTTTTTCCCGCGATTTTTCAAAAGGAAAAAAGTTTTTGGGATTCACCAGACGGCTATTTGTAATATCATGGCGCAGCGTCCATTTTGTGATTGTTAAATCGTCCATTCGCGGTGCTACCATGATGTGTTGTTCTTTTTCTTTCTTTAAAAAAAACATGGATGATCATTCGTAATTTATCGAACATAATCATGTACCAATACAAAAGGGTAACCAAAACAAATTCCATTCACCCGGCATTAAATTTCACCAAATTTGGATCGCCTCGTGGTAAAATGATCAACGAGGTTTGGTGATGCAATATCATCAGATCATCTCTTGATTCTTTGTTTGATTATATAAATTGATAATAATGAACGGATGAGTAAATTTCACTGCATACGAACTGCATGAAATATCCGGTAAAAAAATTTTGGTCTTTTTGATTAGCAATGCCGGGCATCGAGGGTTGTCTTGAGTAACCAAATAAAGCATTCGTGTCATCCGAGGTTCTTGATTATATCAGGATTTTGGAAGTGTTACACGTATGACGAACCGGTCACGAGTTGACGATCACGAAAACATATATCAGATTTCCCCCCCTCCTCCCCACACACAAATATCATTAATTAAAGTGATATGCCTTTGTGAGAGCTAACGCAATAAATACTGCTTATGAATTTGATTACGAAATTTTGTTAGTAATAATTTTTTTTTTCTTTGAACCACAAATGTGATGAAACCCGCATTTAGAAAAATCCACTAGCACAAAAGAAAATTGTGCCAAGCTAATGTATGTTTAAACGGTCATTGATTTTTAGACGCGAGAACAAAAGAGGCAATGAGGGTAGACGCATCGGCTCACATTCGTGTCTCCGATCCCCCGTAACCATCCCCATCCCATCTAAAGAATTCACGCGTGAAATTAATATATATCTATTTTTTATTAATTGTTCAGTATTTTTTGTGATAATTTTAAAATGAAAGGCTGATATATTCACGTCATTTAATGACGCAAAGCGATTTGTTGACTCGGCCCTCGGCCCCCTATTATCCCCCTGAAATTCATAATACACGGAACAAAACTCATTGTCATAATAGTTTTTCACACGCTCCTTACTAATAAAATGATCAAAAGGGAATTTACCCAATTCTTATCCGCAAAGATTACAACTTTAAAAGGTATATCCTTCATTGCTTTATTTGGCATTATTTGTCTTTACATTTTCTTTTATTTTTTTTATTAACAATTTCTTTTTTAATTGTTGTTATCCTTAAATGTTTGTTAATAAAAACATTAACGCCAATATATATAACATTACTAATTGGTGATTCCATAATGTTATAATCATAAAAAGTAATGTTTGGCAATCAAGATGAACATACATCACAATACATAATAGGAAAGTGAGAAACTTAGCATAATGAAAACGCGTGATTCCCATTGTCGTCTAACAAGGTCCGTTTCCTTTTTATGTTCCATCACTCCCTTCATTTCCTTCATTTTCACGTTTATCCATTGTAAATGTATTTATTTCCCATGTAAAGGATTTGCCGATTTCGCTAAAAAGAGAAATAAAAAATTAAATCACATTATTTTTTTTCATTCAAGCCTAGGGGTCCCCCATTTCTTAAAAGGCCAACAAGAATAATTTAAAAATCCTGTTAATATTTATTTACTTACGCCTACTTTTTTTTTTTTTTTTTTTTTTGATAAACTCGGTCAATCGCTTCCGAGGTTCCGACCGAAATTCGAAAGTTCTTTTATTCGAATGATTCTTTACCCTGCGATACAACAGCAGAGCATTCTAATTTCCATAAATAACTTATTCACACGGATCTTTTTATGTTTTATATAAATAAATGAAAAAAAGTAATTATCAATAATAGATAAATCCGGCCCATGTTTTTTGCCCATCCAACATTTCCGTGCTTCGCCACTACCAATCTGGTATGATGAATGAAGGATCGGCTATGATTTATTAATTGTGTTTAACTAAACCATCATAATACATTATAAACAAGTTTTTTTTTTAATTTTTTGTTGATCTGTGATTTTTTCTTTTATCTTACCAAGTATTACGATTAAAACAAGTTTTGATCCTCTTTTTTTTATCCCTTTTATTTTCCCTTGGTATCTCGGCGAATTTTCTTCCGTTGAAAATAAAAAAAATAAAATTATAAAAAATATAAATAATAAAATAAAAATAACAATAATAAACATAACCGCAGTTTAACCAGATATAGCATTTTAAAATTAGATTTAAGAATAGTAACACACCGTAGCTCATGGTTACACCATTTCCTTTTTTGATCGCAGATCGATTTTCCGATTCAATCTTTAAGCGTGGTGATTTTTTAAATTGTTTAAATGGAAATTTAATTGTAATACGAGTTATAAATTAACGCAGCATTATTTTTATTTTTTTGTTTCGCCTAAAATTTGTTTAGAGGTGGTACGATTACTTTTCAATTTTATCTGAAACAAGTTTTGAAGGTCAATTCACACCAAATAAATTACTAATATGAAAAGCAAATGATAATTATTAATTATAGGGATTTGAGGAACGAATGACCGGGGAACATTATTCTTAGCAAGATTTTTGATGAACCCATGAAATGACATCTGATAATACCAAAAATTAAAAAAATAAGAATAATGAATAATGAATAATGAATAATAGGAAAAATCGATACACGAGATACACGGAGAATCATAAAATCTTGACATGTGATGTGAAAATTATTTCAAGTTTTTACTCGTTTTTTTTTTTATGTTCTTTATTTTATTAAACAGATCATCTATACCCTCAAAAAACGATCACATCATTCTAAAAATATTTTCAACAACATCATCATACACATCGCATATACCTTTTCCCATCAATCCATATTCATTATTTACCCTTTGGTCTCAAAAAATCAAAATATTTACTTTATTATGAAACTTTACATATTATTAATAATAATAAACAGGATTAAGTTATAAATCCTGATATTTCCTTTTTCTCTGATTTTAATAAAACTAAAAATAATAAACTTATAATTTCTTACCTTCTTTTCTTCCTTGTTTCCCTTTTATAGAAATGGATACATTTTAAAGAATTAAATTTTTTTATTAAAAAAAATAGATGTCATCTGACCTATAGATTCAGATATCAGCTCGTCATGATTGAGATTAACTGCAAAGATTATTCTACAACCTGTTCATGGCTTGTTGTGAAGAAAGATAACGAGAAACTTCGGCCCGAGCGGTTCGTTGAGAAGATTTCAATCAAAAAAAAAGGTGTTTTTCGTCAGTGTGTGTACTGTACATACATTCTATTTTTGGATTTTTAAAAAAAAGAAGACCCTCACGGGTTTTTTCGGCCGATAATACAACGATTAATTTTTCGTCTGTTGTAAATTTTTTTTACTCTCTTTTTATTTATTAAAATAGAAATTTTCGTGAGAGGAATACAGCATATAATAATGAACAAGGAATTTTTGAGACACATGGTCACACGCATATATGCGATTTATATGAAAATGTACATCTCCATTTTATTATTATTCGCCCTAACGATTGTCGAAATTTATTTTCTTTCACAAATAACAATCCGCAGAAAAAGATAAGCAAATGCTGGGAGAATTCCGAAAACTCTGAAAAAATATGAAAATATGAAAACCGATGTCATATTGTGGCTTGTTAATACGCCCACTTTTGCTTGCATCTGAATTTATGTACCGTTTTATACCTTCGTCCGATCCAAACTTCCATTGGGAAATTTCTAAATTTGTTCAATAGGTCATCCGAAAATGTCACACAACGGTAGGATTATTTATTGGGGATTTGATCCCCTGTTTGTACGCCATAGCCTAATAGTCTCGAAGCCCTTAAAAAGGAAGTTCGTACAAAGTGAGTTTAAAAATTCACAATCCAAACTGTAGAATATCGTACACAATGGTATTGCGACTCCCATTATTTCCCGGTTTTGAAACAGGAGCCACTTTATCAGGCGTATCATTCATAACAACAATATTTATGTCATTTTAGATTTCACGAAATAATTAATATCGCTTTTTACCCCACACTTTTGCATCAGACAATATTTGTACAACAAAAGCAAAAGCAAAACGAAATAAGCGAGGAGTAAATAGATTAATTAAAAGTTCACAATAACCAAGATTAGATAAACTTTTTTGGTTGATGCTTCGCCTTTTTTTTTAAAGTTAAAAAAAATTTAAATGTTTCCAATAGATCATGAGACGATCGTTGTTTTTTCACATTTTTTTCCCTCCCCCCTTTTTAAAAATAAATATGATGATGTCCACGCTTTTTTCTTCATGGTCAGTGCGTTATTATTGTTTTAAAAAAAAATCATTGGAAATGAAAACTCCTTTTTTTATTATTTATTTGCCTTGCTTACGTACGAAAAAAATAATAAATTATTCATATGATTGAAGTTTTTTATTATACAAAGATATTTTAAACCTTTGAACTATGTGATATTTTTGAAATTCAGGGGAATTCTTTTTTCTTTTTTTTAGAGAAAATCTACTTTATATGCCCATTCTATTTTGGGCTTTCCATCTTTCATCTCACCTTTTTTTCAATTAGATGTGAATTGAATAAATAGAAAGTTGGTAATCTCGAACGATAAAGTGCAACTAAACAGGGGGGGGAAGGGGATATCTGATAAGACAAAACGTCAAAAGATGAAAGTGACATTTGATAAAAATGACCAAATGTAAAGTTTAATTTAAGGTTTAGGAAATTACGATATGTACGATTGTTTAGGAGATGAAAATGTTACGTATTTTGTATACGCCTATAGTTTAGTTTCACTTTGTATAAATTCCCGAGTTGGGCAATGCGAGGGGTTTTAACCGGTTTTTTTTTACTATGAAGGAATTAGGAAGGTAATGGCGTAGAAACGCCGGAAATGAGAATGAAAATTATCACATTCTAATCTCTAAAATTTTTTATTTGACATTATTATTTTAATATGTGCGACTTGACTCCAAACAGGATAAACCCTTGTTCTCGGACACGTTTAAGAAATTAAATATTATCATTCTTTTGAAATTGTTTAATTTTAATTCCCCTTATTGTGATTATCCATTTTTTTTATTTTATTTTTACTTTATAATATAAATAAAACTCCTTTGTATCATATTTTTTCATTATATCCAAATCCAAAAATAAACCATTCCAAAAAGGAATATCATACGAAAATCGGTTAAACATATTATCGTCGATCCATTATCTCTGAGAAAAAAAAAAAAATTCTACGCCCATCACGCGTCCGAAAAAGAAATTATATTTCCCTTTACGATCGTGATTGGCAATTTTTTTTTCTCTATTATATACATTGGGTTGATTCGTTGAAAATTTTTTTAAACATTGATGATTCTTAGATTAACGATCCTAGGTGAACACCTTAATATGCGCATGATAAAAACGTGGTTTTGATTCATTATACAATTTTAATGGTTTTAGGTATTATTTCAATTTAATATTGTCTCAAGAAATCGAAACGTTAAATGAAATGCACAAGAGAAAATCAATCAAATCAATTGTCAATATAATTCATGCACAGCGAGAAATAAACAAACATTCCGTAGTTTGCCGTAAATTCTTCCTCAAAGGAGAAATCAAATTACTTTCCAGATTATCGAAACGGGAGAAAAAGAGAGATTCCATATTATTAATGGATTTTCAAACTTTTTACGAGATTTGGTAATTTTAAAAAGAAGGATTGTCCCGAGATGTGAATTTCAATGAAGGGGCATACCCACCCACAGAGAATGATTCTTCTTTATAGGTAAGGTAACACCCACATTCAGAACGTTCCGTTCCACCTTTAATAGTAAGGAATAAAATGCGATTCATACAAGCAGGTTTTGCATGCAACATCCATCATATATGGATCCTTATTTATGCCCATTACTATTTAACTTTTCTTGTGTGTGGGAAGAATCACTTGATTCGCGTTTTGGATAAAGTTTTTTTTTTCATTAATTACGTTATTACGCGCATATGGTTCTTTTCTCTTCTTTTTTTTTCCCCCCAAGAATTTTTCAACATCTCTTACCCCTTGATATCTTGATTTTATTTTTTTCCTTTTGACCTGTCGAGATGGGGTTGGGCTTGTAACACAGAAATTTATAAACTCAGTAAGATTCATTCGTATGAATCATCAAACCCAAAATCAACCTCCGATTTATGCAGATTTTATTTCTCTGTGGTACTGTACATCTGCAAAACTGCATGCAAAACGTTCCATATATTCGATGCATTCATTACACATATTCCTTTTTTTTTTATTAATATACACAAAAATATAATTATTCTATGTAAATATGCAATCAAGGGCACGGTTAAAAGATTAAGTGTACTTTGAATGAACTCTTTTTCATATAAATGTTCGAATATGTGTCGTCCTTTTTATTTCCTAAAACTAGAAATAGGTAATAGGTGATAGTCATAGGGATAGGAATTAGGAATAGAATAAATCTTATTTAAGAAAAAAGATTTAGAAGTTCCTCGCACAGGTTGAATGAACTGTGATTGCATAGATAATTTCATTAAAGTTAAAAAAAAAAAAAAAAAAAAAGATTTTTTGCTTCCGTTCCGAGTTTTTTTTTTTCTAATTTACCGCAATCGTATTCATTCATCCATTTACCTCTCTCTTCAAGACCTTGTTCATCTTCATTTATTTTTTTTGTTATTATTGTTGTTGTTGTTATGTTGTTCTTGTGTTCTTGTAGTCGTTGTTGTCATGGTTAGTTAGGATTGGGTTTCAATCGACGGCCGAATGAGACATAAGTATCTAAGTGCGTACAATCAATCTCAAAATAATCACAATCATTCTTTGAGAAGACGCTAAGCTCAAAGATGGAAGTTCTATCACAACAACGAAATTCGAAAAAAAAAAACAAGGTTTACTTTTTTTTCAAACTAATCGGCATCCTCGGACAATCGTTTCCATATTTAGGCATCAAAGATTTCTATTTAACAATAATTTATATCGTATAGAAAATCCTTTTTGAAAATCGATGACTTTTATGAAAAAATAAAGAATCGAAAAAAATAAAAGCGCGACCAGCATTTGTAAATCCTCACTAAATTTATAAAGAATGCACATTTTATAGTTTTTAACTCAAAAACAATCTTAAGAAAACAAGGTTTCACCTCGACCAATGACGCTCCCAGAATGACAAAGGTATTTTTTTTAATTGAATGATCCTTACCTATTTAGGGAGAGGCACTCTGAATGAAAACTTTTAAATATAATAAGAGGAAAAAAAAGTTTTCTCCATTGTTTCTTAATTAGATACCTTAATTTGATAGGTTATCACATTATATATTGTTTAGGTTTTAGGAAAAAATAAGTTTTTTTTTTATAATTGCTGTCACGCCTTATTTGTTTATTTGTTGGAGTTAAAAAGATGGGATGGAATATGAGTTGAGCGGATTGGTGTGCGCGGTCTCACCATCATCTTTGAATATTGTGGAGAAACGCGTAATGAGGCCTAGCATCTGATCAAGAAAGAATCCACAGATTACCACATTTATCGTCCCACTAATCTTAATTGTGATTGATAATGTCCCCAAATTTGGCATTTATTATGTAAACAAAATCATCGCGTGTAATCTGTATTTGCGTTCAAATTAATTGTTCCTTAAACTTCATTTAACCAAATAAGGTTTCCATTGAAAGATGCCGAGAGATTATACAAAGGATCCTCCTCCCCCCTAAACAAGGAACCTTAAATTAATTAATTTACCTCGCATAATTTATCATGCATGTATTTTAATTGAGATTTTGATAAGAGAACTGATAACGCACACAATTGAATGAAAGGCCGTACAGGTTTGATAAGCTTTTCTTGTGCTTTGTTTATTCTTTTGTCGAAAGTGGATTAATGAATCGTTGATGTTTCCTTGTAACTTTGAGGTACTTATGTAAGAGAGAGTTCAAAAATAGAAAAAAAAACAAAAATAAAGAGCTTTGGAATTCATAATGTGACACCAATGCGATTATACGGATGGATACTCTACGCAATGTTTGTATATCATCACACTTAATGGTTTTGTGATCTAAACATGAAGACAAAGAGGAGAAGAAACTGTTATTGTTTAACGTATTTACGTTAATTCAAGGTCCAATTTTCCGGAACCTTCCAATCGCAAGACGTTCATATATGAGAACTTTAAATGGAACGCGCCACTAGGAAGAATTCCCTAATGGATTTCTTTGTTCTCTTGGTTACTTTGGTTGTTGACTTTGTTTGGTCATTTTACCAAAAAAAGGACATAACAACTACAGAGGAATTAAATGAAATTGTTATTAAAATGTATTGCGACGAATCACGCGCCACTAACGAAATTCCTGTTTCCCTTGCTTGGCAATCGTGAAAGGAAACCTGGTTACAGTATCCCGAGTTGGCATGAACTTTAGAAGAGTGATATAAACGAGAGCGCATTTATCGTGATACGCGTATGCAACGACAATAGGTGATAAGAACATTTATTTACATTTTTAATTTTATTTATTTATTTATTTATTAATTAATGTATATTATTGTTGCATATCAAACATCTTAACAATATTCCATTTAACTCAAAAAAAAAAAAAAAAAAGAAAGGAAAAGGGAAAGGGAAATTCTTTATTCATACGCGCCACCCATTCGACCCTTGTGCTCCCTCGGGGTTGTTAAAATTAAGTACAAGGGGGTGGGGAATTAAAATTCGGAATGATTTAAGCAGATTAACGCCGATTGTATGTAAAATGATGTAACTTTATTTTAAAAACTGGATCCGAATCTTGAAATGAAAAACATATGATTTATTTGTGACATTTCAAATTGACATTTATAACCAAAACGCATGCATATAACCAAAACGCATGCATCACACCGATTTCTCCAAAAATTTTTTTAAAAAAAACGCGCCACTAGTGAATTTACCTTTTTTTTTTTTTTTACTATTTCAAAAAAAAATCTTGTTTCCTTTCCTTGGAAACTTACAATAAATGTGGGGTTTGACAATAGCGGATGCAATCCGGACTTTACCTATGCTATGCATGAGGTAAAAAAAAATATCAAATTATTCCGATTCATCAATTGGTGGTAAAGAGGTGTGATCACATTTGCGCATATAGAATATTTTTCTCCCTTTCATATTTTTTTTTTATTTTATTTTATCATTGGACGCGAAATTAGACTTTATTGGGATCTTGGGGGCTTTGCATGATTTTTTTTTCTTTTTTAAAAAAAAATGCCCACGTTACAATAACGTTAAATACGCCATTCTTCCAGAGATCCTAAAAAGGATATGCATTGAAAAGGGAAGCAAAAAAAACAAAACAAAATAAAATAAACTGAATGATAACAGCCGACATGACGAAATCGGCGAATTTTGGGAAGTTGATGGAAAAAAATTTTTTTATGCCATTGTAGTTTATTCGAATCTAAAAAGACTTTACGCCGTCTTGTGTTCATCTATCAATCACTATGGCTATTATTAAATTGTAACATTGATGATGAACTTTTTTTTTTATTATTTATTATTATTATTATATCCAACCTTTTCTTATTTTCCTAAAATTATTAAAAACTTTTAACAAAAAAAAAAAAAGTGGTCATATCGGGTTAACCATTGTTCCTCCGAGAACGATCCTAACAAAAATGCCGGGTCGGCGGACTTTCTCCTAGCTTCTATGCCACTTATAGCCGAATTATTTATAACTATTTGTATTTATATTTAAGCTCATTACGTTATATGCAAGTTTGTCACCATTTATCAAAATTTTAACAATGATATACCTTGTATATCAAACAAAACCACGCCATCAGCGCCACAAATTGACTCATTTATATGAAAAATAAATACGGAGACATCTTTTTTTTTCGCCTATGCCCAAAATTGGAAAGTTGTTTAGTAACTAGGGTGGGGTTGTTTTGCTGCGCGGCGCTTCATTTGACATTGACATTGAGTTCATACATATATATTTACTTTAACTTTTGACATCCTTTATTTTTTTTAATAAAAATGAGATTGTGAAGGGGAATAGATTTTCCGATCTTCAACAAACTATAAAAAAAAATCATGGATTTTTATTTTATCACAATAGAAGGATAATCTTATTTTACCGATTATACAGTTATATTTAAAATAAGGGAAATAAATTATTTTATTATTATTATTATTATTATTATTTTAAGGGTCAGTTTAAAAAAAAAATTTGTCATGTTTCACAGAGATTATAATATTACATAATGGAAAAAGGAATAATTTATACAGATATAGTGAGGGGATATGGTGCATGACTAGCATGATGGTATGATTATGGATGTGATCTTCGTGCTTATTTTGAATGACAAGTGATTGGAAAAAAAGGCGGTAATAATACGCATCCCATGCTATACCATATATCGCAAAGTTAATGAAATAGTTTTAACAAAGGTAAATGATAATGCTCGGCGAATATGAGAGAAGAGAAACAAAGGACAATTGGATTTCGATTCTTTTTGCTCGGATGAGTGAGTCGCACAGTTGGCGGGGTTGCAAAGGTAAATAAAGCGGATAAAGACAATAGTCGATTACTCTGACAAATTTTTTTTTGTTTTTTTCCACGCGCAAATTCGAGCATATTTTCTCACAAAAACAAGTCAATCATATGCAAATAACCGATTTTTTTTTTATGATTATTCAGAACAATATAAATGTTCAACAATGGGTAATCATTTAAACACATTTATTTGACCAAATGGTTGATCACTAGTCCCAAACTTGCTTACTAATCTTAAAAATAGATGGTCATATTTTAAAAAAGATTATATATGAGAGATAATACAATGTAACTGTTGAGACAAAATGTTCCATTGACCGAATGACTCTAAGCCACGCGAAGTTATTCAGATTTCCAATTAAGGGATCGCTCTCAACTTCCCCGCATTATTCCTTTGCCAAATAATAATAATTACTCCATACAGAATGGTTGATGATACGATGTTATATTTTTAGATCACAATGTTTTGCCATTATAAGAAATATAGAAACCTCCAAGTTCCTTTTATGTAAATAAAATCACTTTTTTTTTCGGCTTCTTCCCCCTTTAATATGATCTAACAAATCCCAACTTTGTTTCTTCAAAATTAAATTATGGCTTTGTTGGGAAGGGGTTGACAATCGAAATTATGACATCATTTTGCACGTGATCAGACAATAAAAAATTAATGATTTCAACGTACCAATGACTTTTTTTTATTCTCTAAAAAGGGAGGTTATCGAATTTGTTAATTACTAAAAAATTCTCACCTTAATAAAAAATATTGTACGTTGTATAGATTAAATAAAGAAAAAAAGATTAAAGTGCGTTTCAAAAATCCCTTTCCTCACCATCAATCACAAAATAAACATTTGATTATCATTCGCAAATCAAATGATTTCATGTGACTAAATTACAACTTACGTAGTTTGATTCGCGAAAGGCATGAAAAATTTTTATTTTCAAAGATTCTATGAAAAAGAACCTTCCGATTATTTTTTTTCAGGAAGTGATGACTTTTCTCATGATAAACATACGATTCCATTACGCATTTCTCACCCCTCAAAAGCTGATCATATCGATGCAGGCGTTCGATTTTGCTTTCATCATTTGTCAGAAATTGAAATTCAGGTACTGTGTAGGGTCGGTCGTATCAAATGTTATCTCAAAATTTCTGAAATTCCAAATTTAAGTTCATTGTTTAACTATGCTGAATATTCATAAGTTACTAATTTCCGGAACTCCAAAAAAGGAAACGTCATTATAAACAACTCATTATTATGTTTATTATGTGCGTCGTTCTTCTTCTGCCCAAGCGCATAAAGTCATTCATCATGCAAAATATATCTTGTTGCCCTTTCACATTCAATCTCATGCGAAAAAGAACGATTTGGTTGATCTAAAAAAAAAGGATGTAAAAGAATCAGTTTTTTTTCCTATTAGTTAACTCGGGTTTATCTTTTGCTTTATCAATCATCAAGCATTATACTTACCTATGTCACGTAAGTCTTGATTGATATTAATTTACTTTTAGAGGTAATGATAGTAATTTCGGAGTAAATTCTTAATGAGGAATGAAGAGTGAATGTAGCATTCATCATTCAATTGAAAAGTGATATGTGACTTCTTGATATTAAATGAATTGCTTCATTTTGGCGATGCTCCGATGCAAAGAAAAGTTGAAAAAAAAAATATTTACCCCTTGAATCAAGTAATCGTTTTAAGGAGACATGGCTTGACAATAATGCATTAAATGTCTAAGCAGAAATGGGCCCCTCTCCTTTTTAGATAAATCAGTCTATATGCTAAATATGGGTGGTGTGCTATTAAAATTTAGGTACGGATCATATGATTTACTATGTCTCGTACCTCAATTTTAATAGCATACCACCATATGTTATTTTCGGGCCGGATTAGTATTAATTCGTATCTAATCCCTTTTTTTTGGTAACTCCTTTCCTTTCGGTTGCAAAGGACCTGTATATGATGTCGTAGTATCACGTGACTTTAAGAGCCTGGCGTTTATAAAGCCCATACCTTAACGTTAATCCTAAATACGGCACATACCTAATATTAATGTTAGGTAATGTGGTTTAGAGTTTTCGAATTTTTTTTCGCGCCACGGAACTTTTATTTTAAAACGTGTACCATAAACAATTCATAATGGTAACAAACAATCGAACCACATGCATCAAAATGTTGATTATTTATTATCATCATCAAGTTATCACCAATATAGACAATATATTTCGAAAACAGAACAATTGGTCCATCTAACATGTCTATATATTGTTTTACTAGATGATAATATCTTAATTTGTAATCCCTTGAAACTTTAATGATAAAGAAAGATAACCTTAACTCGAACCTAATTATTATATCTTCTAATCTAATTTCTAAATTTAAATTAATTGATTATTACGTTACTGACTATTTTTTTAAAAATAAAGTCACCATGTAAACAAAGAGACGAAACTCTAAAGATAATACTAGAATTAGTGGAACGATTGCACAACGATAGGCATTGTATTTTCATTCATACTTTTTTTTTCTTGATAATTGTCGATTCATGTGCAACATAAAGAGAACTTTTTTTCTTTTTTTTTAAAAAAAGAAAAAAAAAATTTGTATGAAATTGTATGGAACTTTATTAATAATTAATTCATTGTAATTGGTAGAGATTCTTTTTTCCCTATATATAATTCGTGAAAGAAAAGAATAAAAGAATGCACCGTTATCAAGGTCATTCACTATTTAAATAAACATTACACAAATTTTTTTTTTTACCATCGTATGATAAATCATACGTGAAATATTAAAAGATGAATGTAAATATTAAAGTATAATGAACCCTTTATTAAATTAAAATAATTTTCATTTCTTAAATAAGGAATAAATTTGGTTACAAAGGTTTGACCAACTATAATTGCCGAGGAATTTGATATTAAATATGTTGACCCACGTTTAATAAGAGCTTGTTTTCTTGTCCTTCTGTGATATATATAAATAAAAATGGAAAGTGTCTATTACAAAGAAATCGCGTAATTTTCAATACCTTACTAATTCGAATTTTAGAAGCTGATTCAATGTAAGGAGGCTCATCATGAATAAACAAAGAACAATAGAAAGAATATATTAATGCATTACGCGGAACTGTATAATTTTGACCATCTTTGCACAATTAAAAGAAAATGTATAATCGTGCTCGTCAAATAATTAACCAAAATGAGAAACAATAAGAAAGTATTGAGAGGAAAAAAAAAAAGTTCCATTATAAGGTCGTGTAAAAAAGAATGATTGATCTTACTCAAAATGACATAATGAAGAATCAAATTATGTACGAGAAAAAAAAAAGTTACAACCCACGCATTCTTTGTGGCGGTTCGCAAATAAGTCAAAAATGCAAAAAACATTGACCACTTACAACATGGATTCCATGTTAATAAACAATATGATGCAGTACGGAATGTAAAAAGATGATCTTCAAATTGACATTGTTCATTTTCATTCAACAATAAATATCACGAGATGATCCTCACTTTTATTCTCGTTTTGAGTTTCTCTTACATTCGGCTGAAACCTTTTTCTTTTATTTTGGAAAATCATTATATGACATAAATTGATGTGATTATATTTAAAACTTGACATTTAAAACGATTTGTCGATCTAATTTGATACCATTTTTGTTCGGATTTTCTTCATGTGAAATTGAAGAAACTTCACGCGATCCTACCTTACAATGGGCTTCTTTTTATGCAGGTTAGTGAGAAAGATAAATAACAAATGCTGATAAAAAGCATTGTTAAAGTTATTTGAAATGTGATAATGCCGATAATGATAAATAGAAAACGGCTCAGCAGCCTGAATTCAATTTAGAAAAATATTATTTGATTATGATTTATGTTATAATTTTAAAAATAAAAGTACTAAAAAGTTACATTATTTTCTCTGCACAAATATTTAAATGCTTAAGGTATTTTTGTTTATAAAATTAATATTAATAAAAAGAACCAATTAATATGCATAAAATTTAAAAAATTATCTATATATAAAGAATTTTTTTTAATAACATTGAAAAAATATCAGTTAAAATTAATTGCAATAGTTAAAAGGTATAGAGCTCTTTAAATATAATTTAAAAAATCAGTTTAATTTAACAATACCTATTGAACCCTGTCTTAAATTCAAAATAAAAAAAAATTGCAAAATTTTAGCAACCTTTTAATATTAATTTTTTTAAATCCAAAAAAGTTTTGCTACAAAGTATATAGAAATCATTATAATTTAAATTCTTAAAATAATAATTTAAATAAACATTTATAATTGTAAAAATATATATTAATAATAATTAGTAATTTTATATTATTTATTAAATTATTTGACAGTTATATTATCTATAAACTATTTACTTTTTAATAAAAGATAAAATTCTAATTTTAGTAATAAACATTTGTTTAACCTATTTTTTAATAATTTAAATTTTAAAATTTTCATAGTTAAACTATACTAAATTACATATTATAATTATTATAATAGATTAATAAATATTTTTATTTAGTAATATAATTATTATATAAAATTAAAGATGCCTCTTTAAGGTTGCTTGTCTAAACTCATTTTGGATTTAGCAAAATGGTAAAACCTTTAGTTTCGCTAAATTTTTACTAAGT